AATGTGGTCCGAGTCGCCATTAAACTACACCACCACCACAACCAATGTGTTATTATTATTTCAGATGTGACCATCAAGGCCTGGTTGTGTCCACTGCCGGGCAGGAGTCACTGTCCGAGATGCTATTGTCCGACGTTCAGCTGGACACAAGACGGACGTGACTTGACGGTAAACTAGGTGGCAGCCCACTTCACGCCCCCTCCAATACCTCATTATCGGCCGAATATTGCTACTTTCCCCTCAAAGGCACAGTCTCACGCACAATAACAGAACATGAGGCCACTTCAGATTTCATTTGGAAACAAACGGCCATCAGGACCTTCTCAAATTTCATCGTGAAATTATATTCAGCTCTATACAGAGTGTTAATCGTAACAGGAACAGCTGATTGGACGCCCTATAACGTGACCTCCGGTTGACCCCGGAAACAGTATCATCTTCTAGTGTCACGTGATCTGCACCCATCTCCACATATACCGAAATTTAATCATAATTCCTGTCATTTTGATCACATTTCAGAAGATATTTCGATTAACAGCACGAGAGTTGAGATCGGTTGATTAAACGAGTTTGGGGATTTGTCCTTTTCTTACTCCAGATCGAATGAACGAATCATTAATTGGCAAGGGATGAAATCCCACCACGGTGAACGTACATATACTGCAGGAGAGAAGGATCAATCGACAAATGTTCTTTTAAATGTGAATTATTTGAAATTCAGTTAAATGAAGTCAGGGCATTAATTTAAAGGACATCTATAGTCTGTTTGCGGTGAAAACGTACCGATGAATTTCACTTTAAACCAAAAAGTAAATCAAATAAAGTGAAATTAAGATTGCGAATCCTCATAATTTTACCTTGCCATTTAACAATTTAAATCTCAGAATTTTATTCAGCTTGGGATGAAAGTTGTTTAACAAACGATCATAGTTTCAAATCGGTATTATTGGTTTGTATTACAAGGGGGTATGCACATAAAATGAAACACCGAGATCAAGTAGGGTTGGTCTAAGTTAACGCTCATCACGTACCGCACGTGCATTTGTTTCACTGTTCCAACTACTGCGCTTACCCCCTTGTAATACAAACCAATATGAGCGATTTGAAACTATGATCGTTTGTTAAATAACTTTTTTCATAAGTTGAATAAAAATCTAAGATTTAAATGTTCAATTGGCAAGGTAGAATTATGAGGATTCGCAATCTAAATTTCAATTTAATTTTTTGTCTAAAGTGCAATTCACCGGTACGTTTTCACTGTAAACTGACTATAGGTTGGTTATTACACTATAAAAGCGAACGCTTGACAAATTTGACATTTCGCTTTTTCGATTAAAATAACTTTGGTCCTTCTGTTGGCCTTTGTTAATAGAGAGGCTTTTACAAACGATGTCAAAGTTTCAGAGTGTCCTGATGACTGTATATTAGGTATATTAAGGAGTAGAACGTGCGCCGCACGTTATTGTATTATATGCGTCAGATGTGTTTACAGGAGCCATCAGATGTATACAGGGGCCATCAGACGTATGTATACAGGGGCCGTCACAGGTACACAGAGGTCGTCACACGTGTTTACAGGGGCCGTCACACGTTTACAGAGGTCGTCACACGTGATTACAGGGGCCGTCACACGTATACAGAGGTCGTCACACGTGTTTACAGGAGCCGTCACAAGTGTTTACAGGGGCCGTCACACGTATACAGAGGTCGTCACACGTGTTTACAGGAGCCGTCACAAGTGTTTACAGGGGCCGTCACACGTGTATACAGGGGCCGTCACACTTATACAGGAGCCGTCAAACGTGTTTACAGGGGCCGTCACACGTATACAGAGGCGGTCGCACGTGTTTACAGGGGCCGTCACACGTATACAGGAGCCGTCACACGTGTTTACAGAGGCCGTCACACTTATACAGAGGCGGTCGCACGTGTATACAGAGGCCGTCACACGTATACAGAAATTTAGTCCTAGATCAGATGTTACATACCTTCAAGCCTACCAAAGATAACCAACTTACAGCAATACAAGTACGTACACACCCTAATAAGAAGCTGCCACACATGGTAAACACAAACATGCACACAATCCAGATAACATCTTACTACGGTAACCCGCTCCACTTGGTCGCAACAAACCGAGTTCGCACGAATACAGCTAGTTACGGCGTGTGACAGGTGCCGAGTTAGGTATCTTTGGAAATATGGCAGGGTTTTTGTTTTGGGTTTTTTGGAATTTTTGCTGCCTAACTAGTCATATATTCCATAGGTTGGTTGTACTCGGCTACCAGATTTTGTTTGCCGTGCACTAAAGCAATCAGTCAACGGATATTTTTTTCAGTCTTTGACAAAATTCCATGTAAATGGAACAAGGGAAAGAGCCTTCCTTATCTATGTTAACCTTGTATATCTATGAAAAAATAACGGCAATGGCAGTGCTCATGAGGGCGATATGTTGTCTCCATGCTTCATCCGGTGGATCTAACAACAAACACATCTTCGTCTTGCTGAATCCTGACTGTGCGTGTCCGTGAAGAGAGAGGCACATTCGTTCTGAACCGCGGAGTAAGGGAAGTAACTCTTGTTAACCTAGCCACGCAGTGGCAGTTTGTGCGGGAAGGACGAGTCAACGGAGTACATTCCGAGTTCGTGTCACAGAAAGGATGGTTGATTCTCATATTTACGTATATTTTCATTCACGATGGTGACATGTCTGTTTTTTCACATGAGTGAGTTAAGTGAGTTAATATTTAACGTCACATCGGCAATATTGCAGCCATATCGTGAATTTTTTTACACATTAAGTATACTTCACTGACCATGATGCTGATTGGTAAGAAAACAATATCTTTGCAAGGGCAGAATTCACCTGGCGAATGGATACCGCCTGGCTGTGTGGCATCTCATTACATCTAGTAAAACCTTGACACTCTGTCGACCCTCCATGTCCCATCACAACTCTAACATCCAAGTCCTTGTCGCACTACGTGTTCACTTACATGGAGTGTGTACTTCGGGTTTTATCAAAGGAGTGCTGCAGTTAGATTTCGTAGACAGATAAGGTCAATACGAGGTAAAATATTACAATTGGTCCGGACTAACTAATATTTATAATCTAATATAGTTTAAAAATGTATGTTGTAAACGTAAGATATCGTATTTTATCACATAATGGGCAGGCGTCTTGGCAGGATAAAGCCAGTGGTGAACCAGAGATATCCGTTGGTATCATGTGCACAGAGATGCAAAGGCCAAGTAGGTATTACTCTCAGTGTTGGAGAGGTGGGGTAGCCTAGTGGTTAAAGCGTCCGCTCGTCACGCTGAAGACCCCGGTTCGATTCCCCACATGGGTAAAATGTGTGAAGCCCATGTCTGGTGTCCCCCGCCGTGATATTGCTGGAATATTGCTAAAAAGCGGCGTAAAGACATATTCACTCACTCACTTTCAGTGTTCACAAACAAACATGGCGTCGCTCTAAGCGCTCCAGTCAGAATTCATCTTCGGGAATATAGAGAACAATTGCGGTAATTACCACCACCATACAAACAATAGGTTAAGATACGGAAAATCATTTCAAACATAGTTGAGGCATTAAAAAAACGTACTAGTTTATACAGGCAATAGGAATGACACGTCTTTATGGATGATCAACTTGTTTATTGTACAATACAATACACTGTATATCTATACCGACACGTCGCTATTGTAGAATAAAGAAGTTGATCATCTATAAAGACTTGTCATTCCTATTACTTACAACTTCTAGAATGCCTCTCAAACAGTTCATACCGGCACGTTTGGAAACAAAATGCGAAACAATGTGCCCTAGGAATGGCCTCGTCCTAGGAATGGTAAGGTTCTGCATTTGGAGTTGGTACAGTTAAATATATTGGGTTTCCCTAAAGAACCCGATAAACGAAGTGAAATGTGTTGTATGTCAACATGACTTGTTTCTGGATGTTGTAGCCGTTCGCATTCAGCTGTAAGGCTAGCAGCGAGACAGGTGCCCAGTCCTCGGCTACTTTTACTTGTTTCTGGATATTGTAGCCATTAGCATTCAGCTGTAAGGCTATAGCAGCGAGACGGGTGCCAAGTCCTCGGCTACTTTTTGACTTATTTCTGGATATTGTAGCCGTTCGCATTCAGCTGTAAGGCTAGCAGCGAGACGGGTGCCCAGTCCTCGACTACTCTTTCTCTGACGCTCAGTTTTCAATAAATCAAAGTGTGATTTCCTTGAACTAATGAAGTCGTCTCAGCTGGACAAACAACACTGTTCTCAAGTTAAATAGTATTCAAATACGTTTGGACGGCAAATCCCGACACAACAGTTGCAAAGCTGCAACAGATGTGAACAATGGAGTATCAGTGTACTTCTTTAAAGTTGTTGTGCGTTCATTAGCAAATAAACGTACTGCAGAAAAACGACATTGTGTGACAGGCCTAATGATATTTATTGTATTTGTATTTGAGGTATGCATTCAGACCGAGGAGTAACTTAAAATTTTCTGACTTCAGAGTAGACTAACATCTAGTCTCTGAAATGAACATATTTTACAGAAAAAATATAATAATAAAATATAATGCAAAGGAGCCCAGAGATTTTCTCCATTTCTTGTAACTGTGGAAATCTAGACTCGCCACATATTCCACACTTGTATGGGCTTTCTTTGATGTATTTGTTTCATAGTCTGTATGACAGTTTGTTTCATAGTCTGTATGACAGATTGTTTCATAGTCAGTATGACAGTTTGTTTCATAGTCTGTATGACCGTTTGTTTCATAGTCTGTATGGCAGATTGTTTCATAGTCTCTATGACAGTGTAACTGCAGGGCTGAAGCCCGGGTTCGTTCCCACATAGGTGCAGTGTGTGAAGCCTATTTGTGTCCCGCCCCGCCATATTCCTAGAATATTGTTACAACGGCTCTCACACATAAGTACACCAACGTGATTTCTAACAAATATACACTTCAACGTAGTTTCATCAACATGTTTTTGTTTATATCTGATGTGTGTTGATATCATTCACCTCAAGTTAATTATTCTGATATCACCGTTTTCCATTGTGACATACATGCGTCCAGCGTCCGTGACAGTAATACACCGAGGTCGTTCGACTCCGTCGGCGCTTGAAGCCGCCTCCCGCAGAAACCGTCCATGTTCGTCAAGCGTTATGACGCAATGTCGGTCGGTATCAGCCAGGTAAATGTTTCCTTCGTTATCACAAGCCACACCTGCCGGAATTTTCAACATTATGTTCCCACGAGGCTTGTAGCGCCATCTGGTGTGGCCGCTCTGATCTAAACACAAGAGTGACTGTTCTTGACAGTCCGAAACCAGAATGTCACCAGAGGGCGTGACAGCCATGTACCACGGATCGGAGAACAAACTGTCACCGTAGTCGGTTGTGTCGATAGTTTTGATGACTCTTCCGCTGTGATCTATAATATCCACGGAACATGGAGTCTGCCAAGTCGTGCTCACTGCAAGACAATCCTCATCAATCCCTGCAATGGCATAATAAGCTTTGTCAGTTTCAATGCTTTTGTTTACGCAAAGGCCAGGGGTCACTTTCGTTATACATATTTTGTCTGACCAGGGCAAGGTCAAGGCTACCGTGCTGTCAGATATCAAGGCCAAACAAAACGGATTGGACTCCAGTGAAAGAGACGAGAACTCATCCCTTCCTCGTTGTCTGTACAGGGACTTCAGCGACTTGTTGTTGAAGTCGGCCACCACGACAACAGCTACATCATCTACATCAACAACAACGATGTCAACAATCAGGGGCTCAAAGGACTCGCCTCTCACGTTGGACTTAATGACGTCGTTGTCACGTGCACGTGCTGGGTGTTTGGTAGTTCCCGTATCGGTTAGGCGGGAATTTCTGTTCGGTACTGGCGTTGGTTCTGACAGGGATAAAATGCATACGCTAAGTATCAACTTCCATTTGCTTTTGGGATGGTTTTCGTCCCTTTTTTAAACAAAACAACAACATTTTAGAAACGTTTACAACTGACATCTGATTGATATCTTTACATTTGAAATAAAGTTAAGGTAACATCAACAGAACACCAGAAAGGTACGCACCTACTTGTTCAGACTCTTGAAGCTGCGAAACCCATGTCTGACGTGGCGTGTCAGGATTGGCTATGATGGTCAACTTCCGGCATATGGGGCAATGGAATCCCCTAAGTTTGTCTGTGTTATCGAGGCTGTTGATATATCGTTGAAGACACCGTGAACAGAGGGAATGCTGGCATTGAAGTGTCTTTGGCTGTTTAATCGAGCCTAAACATATCGGGCAGTTGGTACCTTCGTCTCGTATATACGATTGGTCCTCAGCTGAAGCAATCCTAAAACAAGAAATAGCTTTAAAATTGTGATAAATCTTAAACTGAAAAAAAATACATTTGGATGTAACGAATGAGTGAGTGGTTTTACGCCTTTTTTTGTGTGACAATATTCCAGCAATGTCACAGCGAAGGACGCCAGAACTGGGTTTAACACTTTGTACCGATGTGGGGAATCGAACCAGAGTCTTCGGCGTGGCGAGCGAACACTTCAACCACTAGGCTACCTTTGTGATATAACGACAGGTGGGGCAGCAATGTTCTGACTTATTAATTAGGTGTGATAGAAATCTCCTGCGTCACGAAACTGTGAAATATAAAGTTCAGCCTTGAAACAGATGTGCTAGCTATGGTCTGCTTCATTACTATGAAATGACAACAGTGATGTCAGCGGTTCGATGGAGCAAACTCACTAAATGTCCATAAGCCACAAAACAACTACTAGAATATATATACTACTCAAAACAAATTAAGGAACACCCTCAATTGGATGGGTGTAAGTTGCAGTACTCTCAAGCCATGACAGATTACAAATAGTCATATACTCATGCCAATAATGGCTGTCACTCCCCTCCCCACCCCAACCCCACACACACCTCACACACCCACCCCCTCTCCAATTAAAAAAATTGAGGGGGGTGACAACCATTATTGGCATGAGTATATGAAGGAAACGGGGGGTTTTCTCTAACTTCTTCTGAGTAGTATGTGTGCATGTACTTAACCAATACCAGTCAATTTATGTACATGTTAAGTCAGCCGGTCCTGGCAAACTATTGACATGGGAACAAAGGTGCTGGGTTTTGAATACCTCAATAGTGAGGTGTTGTAACCTGCTGACCCTCGCCTTGTAGATATCTGGCATTCGATAAGTCGACAGTTTATCAGATATATTGATTTAGAGTTTCCGTGAAACATGGCATAAGTCTTGTTATCTTTACAACATGAATGGTTAGGCATGGAGTATATCCTGACCATAATCTCCACATTTCTGGCCAATGCCTCAAACGAGACGTGTATGAAATGCGTATTTATCGAATGATCTCAAACATCAAAGTAACGCGACCAGGTCGTTGTTGTAACAACGTGTCGACATGGCGTCACTGTAAGTATACTGTTTCTTTTCGGCGTTGTTCCAGTCTCGAGTCCATTAACTACAGTTGACAAGGTCACAGTAAGACACACACGTAGCTCATACCCAGTGTACGCCAGAACTCCGGGCCATGTCTTTTCCACTATACGATACACTATATTGGCTGACTGATCTTATGAGGTCATTGACTCAATGGGGATTAACCTGTATCTTCATAACTCATAGGATGTTTTCAACGGTAAATAAACCCATACAAATGAGATGTTAAATATACAGTACTCAACTCCCTTCCACTTTGGTACTTATGGGGGCTTGAGGTATATCAAAGATATATCAATGTCTGACAAAAGAAACTATGTACCAATGTTTGGGTGAATTCAGGTTCAAGTGTATGAGGGCACACGTGATGACAGTCAAACAGTTTTGACGGTTATAGACATTTAAGTGAGGGACTCCACTACAAGTAGGTCATTCATTTGTGTTGTCCGTCGAGAGTTGAGGGGATACACTGTGGTACCTGGCTAGCTATTCTAGAAACGTTCGTAGCCTTACGAACTTCTTAAGCCTATTCTTAACACATTGGCTTCGATCAAAGTTAAGAATTCTTAAGGCTACGAACGTTTCGAGAATAAGGGCCCTGGTGATTATGTTTCATTTTGTCCCGACAGGGCGGGGAAACTATTCATTTATATATTGTAATAACTTTTTACACGCCGTAGATTGAATTCTGATGACAGCGGACGCGTTCACTCAATCACTCACGCTCACTCGCTCACTCACTCACTCACTCATTTCCTCGCCATACAAAATAGTGTACCCTGACACAGTCGGCAACTGATAAGACTATTAACGTCCTTTCCCTGGTGGTTGTGCTAAATTTTATTATTGGTTTTTATTTTAGGATAAATTTCCTATCAGTGGAAGAATTATATTATGAGTCTTGCGCGCTCATATAAACTATTTGTATACCTGTCATATCATCACACTTGTCGCCCAGGGAAGCCTTACCTTGACGATGTGCATCCCATTGTCACTCTTGTCAGTCATTGTTGCTAGGTTACACTGCTAAGTTCATCACGTCACAGGATCCAGCCGGTGACAGTCCACTCACAACAGTGGTGTGGCTCTGCTACTGGAGAAGGGACACCACTGCTACAACGTCGGGGGATTCAAACGTCTCCAGATCAATGGAACCGCTCACATGCAAGTTGACAAGATATCAATCCCATATTCTACAGACGTGGAGTCAACAGACGGTTTGGTCAACAGAGCTGACACCCAGACAAGTCTAGCGACTCTCTGCAGGGTAACACAACTCGGACAGCTCTCCTCCAAACATAACATGTAACCCAGCAATAAATCCACCGGGGGTCCTCACTAAATACAGCAGAACTGTTGCGTGCCATGCCCGGACTCCCGTCCAGAACTCCTATCTCGGTATCAGGCACCCGTATAGTGGTTAGTCGGGTAGGTTACCCTCCCTATATACCCGGATAACGCTACAGGTGCTTGTAATTGGTTTCAACTCAAGCGTCGGGTTGAGCAGATAGTGTAACCAGGGCGCCAGGGAAGACTCACGGCATGGGGATATCGAACGCAGACAGAATGGACATTCGAGAGGACTATTTAAGCTTCCATTGCATTAGAGGAATTATTGTATGTGGACTGAGAGACTCGGATTGTTCATTGATGTAATTATGCGTCCATATCGGGAACCGCTTTCAATGGCTTCGAATATGAAATTTGACCCGTGGTTTGAGGGTACCACAACGGGGTTCTTCAACCTAGCTGCGTCACTTGAGTTCCCTCCTATAAAAATCAAACACTTTGATAAAATTAAGCTGAAATGCAAGATAGTGCTTAAAGCGGCGTAAAATCTGACTCACTCACTTGAAGTTATCGCCTCTGGTATTTGGGTAGAAACTTGTTCCTCACGACTAGATTCGACATGATAGGTAAAATGTCCTATAACATTTCTCTATTTTTATAATGACCTATGTTACTGTATTTGCTTGAAAATGCAAGTGCAGCTAGAAAAAAACTTAACTGGGCTATGTTGATTAAAAATACATTGTTCCAACTTGGCCTTGGATATGCATGGGTAGGACAGGGAGTTGGGGATGCTACAGCTTTTTTGTCCGTTGTCCAACAACGATGTAAGGATTGCTTCCAGCAAGAGTGGACCAGAAATATCCCAACTGGAAAATGTTCATATTCGTTTTCATTGTTTAAACAACATTTTATGTGTGAAAAGTATTTAGCAGCTGTAAATATAAGGAAATTAAGAGTGCCGTCATCGCAGTTTCGATGTGGTTATTATGATTTTATGTATTTTAAAAGAATATGTCATGCTCCTGAGAACCAATCCTGCAAAATGTGTGACAGGGATATTACTGAAGATGAATACCATGTCCTTCTAATTTGTTCTCAGTATGAAGATCTAAGGATCTATTATACACCATCGAAGTATACGTCCTGTCCCACATTTTACAAATTCTGCATACTAATGTAAACCAATGTACAGCTACGTCAGAATATCGCCATGTTTATACACCATGCACTGTTAAACGCAAACACGCTTGTACCACTCACCCATTATAACTGTCTTTACGTGTACTACGGGCATAAGGCCTACAGTTCAGAAATAAAGAAGATAATGACCTATTGTTGCAGGGTCATCATATACGTTCAGAATATTCGCTGAGCTTCTGACTCAGATTCGACTGCAATAGACAGCGTACCCATCATAGTGGTTTAACATACAAGTATCACATCATGTTGATATCGAAACCCCACTTGGAGACCTATTCCACATTGTGTCGTATCACAAATTGTGAACACACTCATTAGTCATTAAGTTTATTGAATCACCATTTTCACATTCTGACTGTCCTCAAGTTCGTGATTTTAAAAAAAGACCATAATTACGACAATTCCCCAGAAAGCCACACGTTAGGTTCACTGTACAGCGATCCTTTCAAGGGAGGCTACTCTAGCGACCTTACCCTGTCTTGCGTCTGTGCATAGTTTTTAAATCGTTTTAGCACCCTGCTTTCGTATTATTAAGAGCATGATGTCTTTACTGAAAGGAATTCTGTTTCCTTGAGGTCTTACTCCACGTCAGTAAGCAAAGGACTCTGTCATTTCCCGTAATGTAAACGCACGGATTTGGTAAATTCCTCTAGCACAGTAAATATGCTTGTATGGGAGAGTGAGTGTGTGAGTTTAGTTTTACGCCACTTTTAGCAATATTCCATCAATATCACAACGGGGAACACCAGAAATGAGCTTCACACATTGTACCTTTGCGGGGAAGCGAACCCGGGTCTTCTGCGTGGCGAGCGAACGCTTCAACCACTAGGCTACCCCACTGCACGTTGTATGGAAGAAGAAGGAGAATAAAAAATCCCATCTGTACATGTCAACACCCGTACACCCATGTCAACACCCGTACACCCATGTCAACACCCCTACACCGATGTCAACACCCCTACACCGATGTCAACACCCGTACACCCATGTCAACACCCATACACCCATGTCAACACCCATACACCCATGTCAACACCCATACACCCATGTCAACACCTATACACCCATGTCAACACCTATACACCCATGTCAACACCCGTACACCCATGTCAACAACATACCCTATACACCCATGTCAACACCCATACACCCATGTCAACACCTATACACCCATGTCAACACCCATACACCCATAATGTCACACATGTCAACACCCATACACCCATGTCAACACCCATACACCCATGTCAACACCCATACACCCATGTCAACACCAATACACCCATGTCAACACCCATACACCTATGTCAACACCCGTACACCCATGTCAACACCTATACACCCATGTCAACACCCTATACACCCATGTCAACACCTATACACCCATGTCAACACCTATACACCCATGTCAACACCCATACACCCATGTCAACACCTATACACCCATGTCAACACCTATACACCCATGTCAACACCCATACAATCATGTCAACACCCATGTCAACACCTATACACCCATGTCAACACCTATACACCCATGTCAACACCTATACACCCATGTCAACACCCCATGTCAACACCCATACATCCATGTCACACCCATACACCCATGTCAACACCTATACACCCATGTCAACACCCATACACCCATGTCAACAACCATGCCCCCATACACCACCCATACACCCATGTCAACACCCGCACACCACCCATACACCCATGTCAACACCCGTACACCACTCATACACCCATGTCAACACCCGTACACCACCCATACACCCATGAGAACACCCATACACCCTTATCAACACCCATACAAACCATGTCAACACCCGTACACCACCCATACACTCATGTCAACACCCATACACCCATGAGGACACCCATACACCCTTATCAACACCCATACATCCATGTCAGCACCCGTACACAACCCATAAACCCATGTCAACACCCCTACACCCATGAGGACACCCATACACCCTTATCAACACCCATACATCCATGTCAGCACCCGTACACAACCCATACACCCATGTCAACACCCGTACACCAATGTCAACACACATACACCCTTATCAACACCCATACACCCATGTCAACACCCGTACACCCATGTCAACACCCGTACACCCATGTCAACACCCATACACCCATGTCAACACCCATAAACCCATGTCAACACCCGTACGTGTACCATGTCAACACCCATACACCCATGTCAACAACCATACACCCATGTCAACACCCGTACATGTACCATGTCAGCACCAATACACCCATGTCAACACCTATACACCCATGTCAACACCCATACACCCATGTCAACACCCGTACACCCATGTCAACACCAATACACCCATGTCAACACCCATACACCCATGTCAACACCCATAAACCCATGTCAACACCCGTACGTGTACCATGTCAACATCCATACACCCATGTCAACAACCATACACCCATGTCAGCACCAATACACCCATGTCAACACCCATACACCCATGTCAACACCCGTACACCCATGTCAACACCAATACACCCATGTCAACACCCGTACACCCATGTCAACACCCATACACCCATGTCAACAACCATACACCCATGTCAACACCCGTACATGTACCATGTCAGCACCAATACACCCATGTCAACACCCATACACCCATGTTAACACCCATACACCCATGTCAACACCCATACACCCATGTCAACACCAATACACCCATGTCAACACCCATACACTCATGTCAACACCCATACATCCATGTCAACACCCGTACGTGTACCATATCAACACCCATACATCCATGTCAACAACCATACACCCATGTCAACACCCATAAACCCATGTCAACACCCGTACGTGTACCATGTCAACACCCATACACCCATGTCAACTCCAATACACCCATGTCAACAACCATACACCCATGTCAACACCCGTACGTGTACCATGTCAACACCCATACATCCATGTCAACAACCATACACCGATGTCAACACCCATAAACCCATGTCAACACCCGTACGTGTACCATGTCAACACCCATACACCCATGTCAACACCCATGCACCCATGTCAACACCCGTACATGTACCATGTCAGCACCAATACACCCATGTCAACACCCATACACCCATGTCAACAACCATACACCCATGTCAACACCCGTACATGTACCATGTCAGCACCAATACACCCATGTCAACACCCATACACCCATGTCAACACCCATACACCCATGTCAACACCTATACACCCATGTCAACACCCATACACCCATGTCAACACCCATATATCCATGTCAACACCCGTACACCCATGTCAACACCCATACACCCATGTCAACACACGTACACCCATGTCAACACCCATATATCCATGTCAACACCCGTACACCCATGTCAACACCCGTACACTCATGTCAACACACGTACACCCATGTCAACACCTATACACCCATGTAAGCACCTGTACGTGTACCTATGTCAACACACTCAATACACCTATGTCAACACCTGTACACCCATGTCAACACCTTATAAACCCATGTCAACACTCTATACACCCCATGTCAGCACCCATACACCCATGTCATACACCCATACACCCATGTCAACACCCATACACCCATGTCAGTAGGTGTACTTGTGTCAACACTATACCCATACACCCATGTCAACAACCATACACCCATGTCAACACTACACCGTAGGTGTACCATGTCAACACCAATACACCCATGTCAACACCTGTAATGTGTACCATGTCAACACCTATACACCCATGTCAGCACCCATACACCCATGTCAACACCCATACACCCATGTCAACACTATGTTAGCACCATACACCCATGTCAGCACCCATACACCCCATGTCAACAACCATACACCCATGTCAACACCACGTACATATACCATGTCAGCACCAATACACCCATGTCAACACCCATAAACCCATGTCAACACCCATACACCCATGTCAACACCCATACACCCATGTCAACACCCATACACCCATGTCAGCACCCATACACCCATGTCAGCACCCATACACCCATATCAACAACCATACACCCATGTCAACACCCGTACATGTACCATGTCAACACCTATACACCCATGTCAACACCCATACACCCATGTCAACCCCCGTACATGTACCATGTCAACACCTAATACACCCATGTCAACACCCATACACCCATGTCAAGCGCCTATACACCCATGTCAACACCTATACACTATGTCAACACCTATACACTTCATGTCAACACCCATACACTATGTCAACACCTTATACACCCAGGTCAACACCTGTACATATGGCAACACCTATACACTCCATGTCAACACCCATACACCATATGTCAACACCTATACACCCATATGTCAATACCTATACACACAACACACGTACACCCTTATGTCAACACCTGTACACCCATGTTAACACCTGTACTCCATGTCAACAACTATATACCCATGTCAACACCTATACACCTATGTCAACACCTGTACACCCACCTATGTCAATACCTCTATATGTACCTATAAGTCAACACCATACACCCATGTCAACACCCATACACCCATGTCAACACCTATACACCCATGTCAACACCCATACACCTATGTCAACACTACACCTATGTCAACACCTTCATATACCCATGTCACACACCTATACACTCCATGTCAACACCTATACACCCATGTCAACACCTAACACCATGTCAATACACCTATGTACACCATGTTACTCCATACCTATACACCCATGTCAACACCTATACACCTATGTCACCTATACACCCATGTCAACACCCATACACACCATGTCAACACCTATACACCTATGTCAACACCTATACACCCATGTCAACACCTATACACCCATGTCAACACCTTATACACCCATGTATGTCAACACCCATACACTCATGTCAACACCTATACACCCATGTCAACACCTATACACCCATGTCAACACCCATACACCCATGTCAACACCTATACACCCATGTCAACACCTATACACCCATGTCAACACCCATACACCCATGTCAACACCTATACACCCATGTCAACACCTATACACCCATGTCAACACCCATACACCCATGTCAACACCCATACACTCCATGTCACAATACTCATACACCCTGTCAGCACCAACACCCATGTCAACACCATACACCCATGTCAACACCCATACACCCATGTCAACACCTATACACCTATGTCAACACCTATACACCTGTAATGTCGGTGCACCCAACACTCATGTCAACACTCTCACCTCTTGTCCTCACCCATACACCCATGTCTATACACCCATGTCCACCTGTACACCCATGTCACACCTGTACACTCCATGTCAACACCTGTACACCAATGTCAATACCTATACACCCATGTCAACACCACCTATACACCCATGTCATGTCAACACCCATACACCCATGTCAACACCTATACACCCATGTCAACACCCATACACTCATGTCAACACCTACACCCATGTCAACACTAATACACCCATGTCACTCTGTACAATTCCATGTCAACACCTGTACGTGTACCATGTCAACACCTCATACACATGTCAATACCCATGTCAACACCCATACACTCTCATGTCAGTACTCTGTACACCATGTACACCAGGTCAACACCCATATACACTCATGTCAACATGTCAGCATACACACTCCATGTCAACACCCATACACCCATGTCAACACCTATACACCCATACACACATGTCAACAGCTATACACCCAGGTCAATACCTTATATACACCCATGTCAACACTCTATACACTGTCATGTCACACCTACAACACTAATACACCTTTGTCTCATCACCCAAACTCCATACACTCTCCATGGCCACCACCCATGTCAACACCTGTACACTTCATATATCAACACCCATGTCAACACCCATGTACACCCATACTCATGTCAACACCTGTACACCCATGTCAATACCTGTACACCCATGTCAACACCTGTACACCCATGTCACACCTGTACCCATGTACAATGTACCATGTCAACACCTGTACACCCATGTCAACACCTATACACCCATGTCAACACCTATACACCCATGTCAACACTCCATACACCCATGTCAGCACCTATACACTCATGTCAACAACTATACACCTATGTCAACACCCATACACCCATGTCAACACCCGTAGACCCATGTCAACACCCGTACGTGTACCATGTCAACACCTATACACCCATGTCAACACCTATACACCCATGTCAACACCTATACACCCATGTCAACACCCATACACCCATGTCAACACCCATACACTTCATGTCAGTGTCATACACCTATGTGCAACACCTATACCCATGTCAACACCATACACCTATGTCAATAACTATACACCCATGTCACACCTGCATGTGTACCATGTCAACACCTATACACCCATGTCAACACCCATACACTCATGTCAACACCTTATACACCCATGTCAACACCTATACACCCATGTCAACACCAATACACCCATGTCAAAACTCATACACTCATGTCAACACCCATACACCCATGTCAACACCCATACACCCATGTCAACACCAATACACCCATGTCAAAACCCATACACCCATGTCAACACCCATACACCCATGTCAACACCAATACACCCATGTCAAAACTCATACACTCATGTCAACACCCATACAGCCATGTCAACACTCATACACTCATGTCAACACCCATACACCCATGTCAACACCCATACACCCAGGTCAACACCAATACACCCAGGTCAACACCAATACACCCAGGTCAACACCCATACACTCATGTCAACACCCGTACACCCTTGTCCTCACCCATACACCCATGTCAACACCCATACACCCATGTCAACACCCGTACACTCATGTCAACACCCGTACACCAATGTCAACACCCATACACCCATGTCAACACCCGTACACCCAGGTCAACACCCATACACCCATGTCAACACCCATACACCCATGTCAACACCCGTACACCCATGTCAACACCCGTACACTCATGTCAACACCCGTACACCAATGTCAACACCTATACACCCATGTCAACACCCGTACACCCATGTCAACACCCATACACCCATGTCAACACCCATACACCCATGTCAACACCCATACACCCATGTCAACACCCATACACTCATGTCAACACCTATACACCCATGTCAACACCCATACACCCATGTCAACACCCGTACACCCATGTCAACACCCGTACGTGTACCATGTCAACACCAATACACCCATGTCAACACCCGTACGTGTACCATGTCAACACCTATACTCCCATGTCAACACCTATACACCCATGTCAACACCCATACACCCATGTCAACACCCATACACTCATGTCAGCACCCATACACCCATGTCAACACCAATACACCCATGTCAACACCCATACACCCATGTCAATAACCATACACCCATGTCAACACCCGTACGTGTACCATGTCAACACCTATACACCCATGTCAACACCCATACACTCATGTCAACACCCATACACCCATGTCAACACCCATACACCCATGTCAACACCAATACACCCATGTCAAAACTCATACACTCATGTCAACACCCATACACCCATGTCAACACCCATACACCCATGTCAACACCAATACACCCAGGTCAACACCCATACACTCATGTCAACACCCGTACACCCTTGTCCTCACCCATACACCCATGTCAACACCCATACACCCATGTCAACACCCGTACACCCATGTCAACACCCGTACACTCATGTCAACACCCGTACACCAATGTCAACACCCATACACCCATGTCAACACCCGTACACCCAGGTCAACACCCATACACCCAGGTCAACACCCATACACCCAGGTCAACACCCATACACCCATGTCAACACCCGTACACCCATGTCAACACCCGTACACTCATGTCAACACCCGTACACCAATGTCAACACCCATACACCCATGTCAACACCCGTACACCCATGTCAACACCCATACACCCATGTGAACACACCCATACACCCATGTCAACACCCATACACCCATGTCAGCACCCATACGTGTACCATGTCAACACCTGTACACTCATGTCAACACCCATACACCCATGTCAACACCCGTACATGTACCATGTCAACACCCATAAACCCATGTCAACACCCGTACATGTACCATGTCAACACCCGTACACCCATGTCAACACCCATACACCCATGTCAACACCCGTAGACCCATGTCAACACCCGTACGTGTACCATGTCAACACCCGTACAACCATGTCAACACCCGTACGTGTACCATGTCAACACCCGTACGTGTACCATGTCAACACCCGTACGTGTACCATGTCAATAACCATACACCGATGTCAACACCCGTACGTGTACCATGTCAACACCCATACACCCATATCAACACCCATACACCCATATCAACAACCATACCCCCATGTCAACATCCATACACCCATGTCAACACCCGTACATGTACCATGTCAACACGCGTACACCCATGTCAACACCCGTACGTGTACCATGTCAACGTCCAGGTAAAATAGGTAAAATATACCACCCCACAGAACAATACAATGTATCAGTATTTATACAATAACACCAATTAAGAGTATACACATCCACTACCCATGTAACTATCTAGCCTGAGATGTTTACAAATGTAGCATTTCCCAGTACTGATGTGACCTAAACTGTGGGTGAACTTTACAAATGTAGCATTTCCCAGTACTGATGTGACCTGAACTGTGGGTGAACTTTACAATGTAGCATTTCCCAGTACTGATGTGACCTGAACTGTGGGTGAACTTTACAAATGTAGCATTTCCCAGTACTGATGTGACCTGAACTGTGGGTGAACTTTAACGTAGCATTTCCCAGTACTGATGTGACCTGAACTGTGGGTGAACTTTACAATGTAGCATTTCCCAGTACTGATGTGACCTGAACTGTGGGTGAACTTTACAAATGTAGCATTTCCCAGTACTGATGTGACCTGAACTGTGGGTGAACTTTACAATGTAGCATTTCCCAGTACTGATGTGACCTGAACTGTGGGTGAACTTTACAAATGTAGCATTTCCCAGTACTGATGTGACCTGAACTGTGGGTGAACTTTACAATGTAGCATTTCCCAGTACTGATGTGACCTGAACTGTGGGTGAACTTTACAAATGTAGCATTTCCCAGTACTGATGTGACCTGAACTGAGGGTTAACTTTACAAATGTAGCATTTCCCATTACTGATGTGACCTAAACTGTTGGTGAACTTTACAAATGTAGCATTACTCAGTTCTGATGTGACCTAAACTGTTGGTGAACTTTACAAATGTAGCATTACTCAGTACTGATGTGACCTAAACTGTTGGTGAACTTTACAAATGTAGCATTTCCCAGTACTGATGTGACCTAAACTGTGGGTGAACTTTACAAATGTAGCATTTCCCAGTACTGATGTGACCTAAACTGAGGGTGAACTTTACAAATGTAGCATTTCCCATTACTGATGTGACCTAAACTGTGGGTGAACTTTACAAATGTAGTATTTCCCAGTACTGATGTGACCTAAACTGTGGGTGAAGAATGGAATGACAGAACACATTTCAACAATTGTTTTATGGTAAGTCAGATTAATAGGAAAAATGAACTGCACATACCAACTATCAGAACATTTACACACTCTGTGTATGTTGGCAGATTTCTCCTTCTAAACACGCAGAAGACCCGGGTTCGAATCCCCACATGGGTACAGGGCGTGAAGCCCATTTCTGGTGTCCCCCGCCGTGATATTGCTGGAATATGGCTAAAGGCGGCGTAAAATCATACTCACTCGTCACTCTCTTTCTTAAGGCAAAGAATGAATCAATTTCTTTATTTTCTTCATAATTTACACCCGGAGTTTAACAAGATGTCTGATGTTACTCAGAGCAAATACATGATGCTAGTATGTATATGAATATAATATGAGCCCTAGTTACACAAGCTGTACAGCATATATTCTATAGCACCCCATTAATTATACCACCATTGTCTTCAGTCTCGAGACAGCTGCAGGCAGATAAACTGCGTGCGAGATTGAACGTTGATTTAAACAATGGTGGCGCAGTTCGACTGCAGTAACCAGTGGATCACAGGTGTGTGTTATACACCAGGGTAGATAACGGTTAATTGAACTGACATACTTTCCAATGCTTCTCATATACACCAAGGTCATGATTCTGACCCGGTCAATGTCCAGTGTGCATTTGATCATCACGGTCATCTCCCTGGCAATCATACAAGCCAAGTTGAATTGTGAGGTGCTAGAAGGTTAACATGTATTTTAACATCTCGCCCTACCGGGTACCCATTCACTACTGAGTAAACATAGGCAGATTTCTCGAAAAAGTCACTTGACTAAGGTGACACCTGTCCCACATATATATGCCTCACACAGGACGCCTCCGTGGTGTAGTGGTTAGAGCGTCCGCCCGGAGAGCGGAAGGTCACGGGTTCGATCCCCGACCGCGTCATACCAAAAGACGTTAAAATACGGTACTTGTTGGTCCCTGCCTGGCGCTCGGCATTAATGGGTACAACAAGGACTGGTCGGCTCGGAGTCAGCATAATGTGTCTGATTGGGATAGTCATGCTCCACTGCGGCATGGTATCTCAGTGAGCTAGCACTATAAAACCAGCTTAAGTCTGGGCTAGTACAAGCAGCCGCACATGCACATACACACACATGCACGTCGTCATATGAGCGAAATATTCTCAAGTACGACGTTAAACCCCATTTCACCTCACCTCACCTCACACAGGGACTGGATCGAAAAAAAGTCACTTGCCTACGGAGACACGTGTACCACATATATGCCTGACTGAGGGGCGGGGCCGAAGCCCTAGACAGGAGTCAAGCTGCCGAAGTCGGTCACCTGCCCAACGCTGCATAACTTCACCTGATGTGTGACATGCGCTGTACACCGGTGTACGTGCTACTATGTACACATGCTACTCTCCCTCGTCTACCTCCACCTGCCACGGATCACGTGCTTCGTCCTATCCGTCACAACAGATTATTAGTTCACTGGGCGTCTGCAAAGTAGATTTTGACTCAAATTAAATACATACATATATATAAAATAGTAAATGGTAAATGCATGTATATTTCGTTATATCGTCAATGGATTTAGTATCTGCCAAGATCGTTATACATGATGTTACATGATATACACAAGCAGTGAAAGAAGTCATAGGAGTACAATGTGTGAAGCCCATTTCTGGTGTCTCCCGCAGTGATATTGCTGGAATATTGCTAAAAGCGGCGTAAAACAAAACTCAGTCAGTCAGTCATAGGAGTGGAAACACAGCGGTGAATCTGTTTTTCTTTCTTTTTTTTGAAACAAGAAGGTTTTTAAATCGGATTTGAAGGACGTATGTGTTAGTAAGACACGAATGACAGTGAGTTCTACGGAACTGGAACCGTGTACCTGCACCAAATGATTTTAGGTAACATTTCGGTGTTCTCAGGACATGGCGATTATCTCTCAACGATCTTGCGGTTCATGTAGTATATGGAAGAGATACCGTGTATCTGTTTGACGTATAAATACGACTGTTAGGGTGTCGAATATAATGTTCATAATCAATTAATTCAATGTTTCTTCTTTGGGGGAAACACTGTGAAAACATTATAAGCAAACTGGTTTTAAAGACTTCAATAGCAGATCTTTAAGATATTCACATCACTTACAACAAAACGGTTACTTAATTTCAGTTCTTTGGCAAAGATGTCAATGCTTTATGAAACAATATGAATTGCCTCAAGAGGCAGTAAAAGGCAAGGACATTTTCAGCACGTGAGCTGCATCAGGACTTGGGTACCTGTTCACACAGAACGTGCCTGGGCACACGGTATGCAGATTGTGGTGGTGTGTTGGTACACATATCGCTGCCTGATGATCCGAGGTGAAACTCCCCGGCTACAAACACAGTGACTGAGACCTATAGTCCGTTTGGCTCAAAAGCGGACCGATGAATTAAAGGTTGTTTAACAAACTATCATTAAAATGTTGACCCAGTTCATCATTTGTTACGAGGGAGGAGTGCAGAGAGAGGGACAGCCAGGTGTTAGAGAAGCACGTGCACAAGTGCCGACAACGTTATTGATTCATTAACTTGTGCTGTGCCGTCTCCATCCTTTCTCTGCACTCCTCTCTCGTAACAAATAGTGAATTGTGTCGATAGTTTAATGATAGTTTGTTAAACAACTTTTTTAATTTTAGAACATAAATTCTGCAAACAAATCACAGAGTTGGTCTGATGTTTTGATCACGATCAGCGTTTCATTGAGTATTATATGCTTATTAGTTTTCGAGTTCGATTGCAATTCATCGGTCCGCTTTTGAGCCAAACGGACTATATACCAGTATTTGGTAGAGAGTAATGGTTCAATCTGCTGCTGGTGTACACTATCTCTCAAA